GGGGCACCTTCCGCAAGGCGTCCCCCCCCGCCGCTACCTGGACGCCATGCACGATGTAAAGCTTCTCCGCTTCGCTCAGCACCACGGACGCCATGACAACACCACACTCCCGGTTCTTCCGCTTCCCGGGCCGCTGCTCCACCGGGGAGGGAAGGCGGAAGCGGGAAGGCGCGTGGCGCCCGGCGCCGCGCAAGTGGGCGTACCCGGCGCCTGCGCACTGCTCTGCTCCCGCGCGCCCGAGGCGGGAAAGTGGCTGAGGCGCCATCCTTGCCACTCCACCCGCCGAGCGGGGGCCTCATGTCGGGGGCTTGTCTGCGAAGCACCCCGCGTCCCGAAAAATGGTCCCTCCGAGAAGCCGAGCCTCGCGGTAAAGCAAAGGGGCAGCGCCCGCTCTCCCGCCCGCCCTGAGCAGAGGGGAAAGCTCCTGAAGGAGGCCGTGAAAATACCCCAGTGCTCGGCAAGGGCTCGCGTAGCGATAAACCCCGCAAGAAAAATGAGGCAATGCAGAAGGTTTTACCTCAGGAAAAGGTCCGAGCGAGGCGCAGCACACAGGGCGGGTTGGTGCAGGAGCAGGGAAGAAACTTAAATGCTCTCAGGACTGAGTGCTTCTGGTCCTGCACCAGGTATCCCTGGGAATGTAGTGTGGGAAACGTAATTAAAAACTCATACTGTATATTAAAACAATAAATAAAGAGAGATTTTTTGGTAGCCTTAATTGAAAGTTTCATAACAGCGAGTAGCTGATGTACACTTCTTTGCACAGCTTTTGTGTATAACTTTCAAATTATTTTAAATGTTGCTACCTGACTTTGCTCTGTTGCTTGCTTGGGTGAGAACGACCCGTGGCTTACAAGGGTTACATAGCACACTGTCGGAGCTTATCCAGGCATCTGTAGCTCCCCTCTCTGAGACTCCTTGCTCTATCAAATGTCCTGAGCATTTCTGGCTGTGCCTACTTGAGGAGGTGGTGTGATGCAGCGGGAGCAAACCTGAAGAGCAAGAGATGTTTGGGAGGTTTGGGCTTATGCTGGTCTGATCCTGTTAGCGGGCTGCACATCCATTAGTAGTCAAGCAGAGTGGATCTGTTTCTGGGATGGCTTACCTGAATCCCGAAAGAAGTTCAGTTTCTGCACACCAGAATTGTTTGGTGGGGAATTTCTGACTGAGGGGATGAGTAGGGCCAGGCCTCCTTCCTGGCAGTGCCCTTGCAGAAAAGTCAGATTAGAAACTCCCTTGTAAAAGCAACTTCCTGATTGGAAATAAAGTGTTAGCGTGGATGAACCCTATGATCCCCAGTGTGAGCATGGGGAGATGACATTCTGGCTCCCAGTCCTGCCTGTCTCATGGTTTAGCCCACAGCACCTAACTGTTCCAGTTGCACGGAAAGAATGATTGGGTTTTTTCCCCCTTCCTCTGCCATCTGAGCCTGCAGTCTACCTAATGTGAGTTGAATTCTTGCATAGTCCAGAGGCTCAGCTAGCAAATCTTGTTTACATGCAAACAGCAGTTTTCCAAAGGCTAGAGAAGCCTAGATCTGGTTTGTTGAAGGCATCCCATTGCTTTAAAGAGCATTTCCTAGTGCATTCAAATTCCTGTCTCCAACACAAGGACGATGAAGGCTATCAGACAAAAAGAATGCCAGTTGTTGGGTTTTTTTAACGAAGGCAAAGCAATGTCTTTAACCTCATTATGGTAAACGGGTGACTTACACTGGCTGAAATAAAGCCAGCCTGAGGGAACCACTCGGAATGTAAAAATCCACACCCTGCGAGGCTGTGAACACTGGAAGTGGTGCCTGGGAATGGCGAGCGCCCGGCAAACTCAACCCCAGCTGTCTGCTCCAGCGAACTCAAGCCCCACTTCGGCTGCCGACAGGCAGGTG